CTATTTTTGTGTTTTCAATCCCATCGAGTTGATTTGGGGAAAGCATCAGGCGTAAAAATAATCTTCCAGAATTTGATAAGAGGGTAATAGAGCTGGTTAAAGAAGAAGTATCTAACATTACCGAAGGAGACAGAAAAGGATTAAAAAAGTAATTTTGGTTGAAAAAGACTATATGGAGATTGGACACTTCCATATTAATAATCGATTATCTTCTAATAAAGCTAAAAATGCATTAATACATTGGTTGGTTTGTGATTTAATGCTTATCAAACTCTCACTTACCGTTTTTTTATTCACAGCCCTAGTGACAGCGCATCTGTAGACGTCCTGAAGGTCAAGTTCAAGTACTGCTAGGGTCCCTGTTGCTATGGGCCTACAAGCTACATCAGGATAGTCCCTTAGTCCTTCGATATACACTCCCTTAGTGGTGCTAGAGATTGGGACTTCTATCCGCATTTGATCGGGGGTACATTTTACTTTGGGCGACACTGAAACAAGATGATTCAAATGAGTTCATAAATATAGTAAATGAATAAACGAGAAAATCAATAAAATTCCTGTACTTTGACCTGATATTATTTTCATCACATTACCTGTGTTCCAGAATATGTTAACGTATGTTAGTTTATCAAATTTTCTGTAAGTGATCAAATGAGATAGGTATCCTGATTGATACAATTTTTTTTAAGTTGAGAAGAAATGAAATACCGTCCACATTCATCAGAAACACAAATATCATTTATAAATATCAGCTGAGCATATAATCCAATAGAAATATCAAAAACAAATGAACTACCTTTGAATCAAACACGTGTCACGATTGACTAGTCTATTAGTTACCGATGTTACTTTTTTGAATAGATAAGACTTTGAGTCAAATAATGTCACGATTACCTTGTCTATTCTTTCCCAATATTATGTTTTCCATAAGATAACTACTAGACTAGTCAATCGCGACAGGTATTTCACTCGAAGGCTTATTATATGCAATAAAATTGCTTTTCTCTTGAGTATCCAAGTCCAAAAATGAAAAATGCTATATTACTAAATAGAGAATTGAAAACCCTTTTTCATTTGAAATTTTTACAAAGTTAGCTATCACCTCTAGGAGGTTGAAGGTGCAGTTGAATAATTTTATTGAGAAAGTATATTTTNTTAAAAGTAAATTAATGAAATGAATAAATAACTATAGGCTCTATAGGGAGGCGGGTGAGTGATCTAGGTACTAGTGCCTGTTTTGCCAACCATTATCTTCTAATAAAGCTAAAAATGCATTAAAACATTGGTTGGTTTGTGATTTAATGCTTATCAAACTCTCACTTACCGTTTTTTTATTCACAGCCCTAGTGACAGCGCATCTGTAGACGTCCTGAAGGTCAAGTTCAAGTACTGCTAGGGTCCCTGTTGCTATGGGCCTACAAGCTACATCAGGATAGTCCCTTAGTCCTTCGATATACACTCCCTTAGTGGTGCTAGAGATTGGGACTTCTATCCGCATTTGATCGGGGGTACATTTTACTTTGGGCGACACTGAAACAAGATGATTCAAATGAGTTCATAAATATAGTAAATGAATAAACGAGAAAATCAATAAAATTCCTGTACTTTGACCTGATATTATTTTCATCACATTACCTGTGTTCCAGAATATGTTAACGTATGTTAGTTTATCAAATTTTCTGTAAGTGATCAAATGAGATAGGTATCCTGATTGATACAATTTTTTTTAAGTTGAGAAGAAATGAAATACCGTCCACATTCATCAGAAACACAAATATCATTTATAAATATGAGCTGAGCATATAATCCAATAGAAATATCAAAAACAAATGAACTACCTTTGAATCAAACACGTGTCACGATTGACTAGTCTATTAGTTACCGATGTTACTTTTTTGAATAGATAAGACTTTGAGTCAAATAATGTCACGATTACCTTGTCTATTCTTTCCCAATATTATGTTTTCCATAAGATAACTACTAGACTAGTCAATCGCGACAGGTATTTCACTCGAAGGCTTATTATATGCAATAAAATTGCTTTTCTCTTGAGTATCCAAGTCCAAAAATGAAAAGTGCAATATTNTAGTTGTTGGTTCACAGATGGATCAAAAAACACCTTCCGGTTCCAGTGCAGCTCTTGGCTCCTACCGAGCCACGTCTAAATTGGCAGCAAATTGCCAAAAACGACTCTTCTCAGTAGGAAGACCTAGCAGATTGTCTTTGGTCTGAATTCCTGGTCATACTGACCAGGTAATGAGGCTGCTGACTCCCTTGCGAAGGAGGGTGCTGCAAGCAGCTTCCTCGGACCAGAACCTGTCATTGACATCGCTTTAGGCTTTGTCAAACAAATATTGAACACCTGGATGGCAGGAAGATTTATAGGCTTTTGGCAGAATCTTCCAGGATTGGTTCATTCCAAGGCGTTTATTCACCCTTCGAAGCTTGATACCAAAAAGTTGTTGGACTACATCTGATCTGAAAGACCATGCACTCACCATACAAACTAATCGGCTTCGTTACGAAGCTGGGTTTATTTGGTTGAGTGTGAATAGGTGTGAGCCACAATAAACCCTCGTGGGTCGCGCTAGAGGGTCAAATAGACCCACTCACTTTGGACCTAACCTGACCTGACTGTATATTACAGTTTTGAATTTCCTAAATTTAAAGAAAAGTGTTTATATTATCATCAAGCTTGACTCTGCATTCACATTCAATTTCAATAAATACCCATTTACTTCGAATTTCTGTCGAGGATCATTCGATCCTGCCAATTTTTTACCACATAAAACTAAAATGTGACTTGAAATCCGCTTCCCAGTGTGTCAATTTTCCGCAAATTGATTCATATCTTGTTCCTGCTCAGGTATATAAATAAGATTTAACACCGTTGTCAACAATGCAACGAACACGAAAGTAAAAGTCTTGCAGAATAGAACGTTACAGTAATGATATTCGTACTACAAGGTTGAATTCTTTCTCCATCTGACCTCATTGAAGGAATATTAATTTACGTCATTTTATTGTTCCACACGCTTTTGCACTGCTACACTAAATGGATTTTAAGGTCAGACGTCCCAAGATAAAGAATCTCATTTGGAAGAGTCTATGAAAAAGTTGAATTTTTTGGCTTGATTTATGATCGAACATAGCTTTTATTCGATGAGGCATTTTTGTTTTTGTTGAATTCGAGAGCTTCTGCAGAAATTCCCATTTTTGTGTGCAACAACATTCTTCATTTCAATACCTCTTAGTTACTAGATGGGCATAAATACGTATTGTTGAAACACTACAAATAATTTTTTTTTTGTAACGTAGCTGAAAAACTAAACGACTAACAGCACTGTTTGTAATAGTTTCACTTCCTTGTGGGGTTCTTTGTCTTTTTCATTTTAGTTATTTTAC